AAATATAAATTTTTAAATACTTATATAATATTATATATTTTTTATATATTTATAATATATGCAATATTATATATTTTTTAAATTAAAAAATATGAACCCAATAAGTGAAACAAAAAAATTGCAAGTTTATATTATGACAGACATTCACTGGCTTAATATAAGAGAATTGGATTCTCTTGAACAACTCAATGTTCAATATTGGCATAAATAAATAAATAGATAAGAGCTAATGTATTCAATACTTTAACTGTTTCTACACACTTGAGGATCACCTGGGGGAACTAGGGACCTAGAGAAACTTCTTTCTTCTATGAATTAATCTTTCTAAGTTAAAAGGTTTACTAGATGAATGAATGTATTTAAAAACTTTGTAGTCTATCATTAATTATAAATTACAAATATGTAATTATAAATTTCCAGAGGGTAACTGAAAATCAAATGGGCCCTGTATAGTTATTAAATTTATGACACAGTTAGTAAGCACTTTAATGCAGAAGATGTGTTTAAAACATTTTAAAACTGGTCCCCAGATCCCACAAATAAGAGAACATATTAAGTTTGTCTTTCTGTGTCTAGCTTATTTCACTTAACATAATGACCTCCAGTTCTATCCATGAAATGTAGACAGCTATAAATGAAATTGGCTATGTTCTAAATTCTCAATGTTGAGAACATGTCTTTTAAAAATGTTTGTACAAGGTATAGATAAAAGTTAAGGTAGTCTCTGTCCCCTTGTAATAATAAAAATTGCTCAAATGCTTCCTAATATATATGTTAATAACGGAGATATTTTCATAAGGAAGACAATTGTGGGAATTCACTCAGGATGGTGGCAAAAATATTAAGGGAAAAGTATTAGATAAAATTATAGAATATAGTTTCAAACGCTTTTGGAAGGCCTAAGGGTTTTTACTATAGTTCTTGGCTGAAGGCTGCCAGAGTCTCTTTGCAGGAACTAGAGAGATTAGGACACAAAGACAAAGGAATGTGAATAGTTTATCTAACTAACTTGTTTATTCATTAACCTTTGATCATTCTGGATGGCTCTCTGGAAGATGGGAGGAGGTTGACCAGGGATATTACCCACTAATGGTGTTTGCTTTGGGCATGAAAACCTGTCCTTTAATCTATAACCTCTAGTGGTGTTGACTCAAGAGTTTTTGTCATTTAATGTATACTGAATAAAGGCCAGGAATTCCAGCGTGTGGGGGCGGCAGTTACAACTGTTTAGAGCACTCCCCAGGGTGCCTATAAGCTACCACACACACTCAGTTGAACTGGCAAAGCATAATATCTGTGTGTTAGTGTACTTTATTCATCCACCGTTGAGTCAGAATCTGCAGGACAGACCCCTGCAGGTGGTGACCCTGACAGACAGTTACAGGAGTCAGACCTGGAGGCAACATGTGAACATGCTCTGCATTATCCTTTAAAAAAAGGTTTTATGCATGTTTAGCAGCAATTACTGTAATTTACGCTATATGGTTTCAAAAGAACCTTTGCAATTTTTCCTCTATATGATATTCTGTTAAGTAATTATTTGCTCGCATTAAAATGATCAGAAGATAATACAATTTAACAACTAACTTGCAAGGATAAAAAAAGAAGTGGACAACTAACAAAAATAAGATTTTCAGGTAGAAAATCTTTTCTTTCTCAGCAAAATATGGTACAGATCACCCCATTGTCACTGTGCAAAAAATTAACACATTAACTTAATTCTTTTCAAGCACAGAATGTTCTGTGCCTAAACAAGTGACTTGAGCCTTTTTATCCTACAGTCAAAATGACATGCCTTTAGCAACTTTAAAAATTTAAATATATATAATCATTTGCAAAGATAGAGATAATTTTTCATTAGTTCCAATTTTTTGTTCAATGAGAACGAGTGATCTTTGCTTTCAGAGAAGCAGTATCTTTGTGGGAATCAGTTGGGGGTTAAATTATAGTCCACCTTCTCACTGGTTCTTCAGGCAGAGATATTAATTCTGATTCTGGAAGAGGGTAGGCCTAGAGATCCCCAGCAAAGGGTGAAAGTATGCTGATGTTTACTTCTTCGATGTTGATGCATAGAGAAGCAAGACAAAACTTGAATATTAACCCTGAAGGTCATTTAGAGGGCAAATTCAGGAATCAAACCAAAGTAAATGAATCAGAGAGCCAGACAAAGAGTTAGAGATCCCTAAGAAGGATCATAGTAAGACTTCTGAATTGTATCTAATGCCTACATAGATAGCATGCTGTGGAAGGCTGCTATTGAGGATGAAGATGCAAAGAATGAAGAGAAGTAATGCTGAAACCTCAAGACCAACTAGAAGTAAGTATACAATGATGAATTCAAGATGCCTGGCTTAAACAATGTGCAGGTGATGAAGTTACAATGGGATACAAAAAAATGAAGAGAAACAAATAAGGCAAGAGAAGGAACTGAGTTTAGTTTGGTTAAATAAAGTCTATGTTTTCTCCAAGACAGGCAGGTAAATTCCTAAGGGCTGATAAAATTTTAGGAACAGTAGGAACAATTAACAGATACAAAAATTGTTGAGAAAAGTAAGGTAGGCATAGCATATTAGAGTCTCAGTAGAGAAACCATGTGAAAAAATTTTGTCTAATGCAGCAAAGATAATTAGAACGTTTCAGATTATAACAGGTCAACTAAATTGACGTAGGCTGATCTCTGGTGACTTATGAAAGCAGTGACAGGACAGTGATGAGTGGCAGTTAATCATACTGTGATGAAGAACAAAGGAGGAGTTGAAAAGTAGAGGCAAAGGGGGTATATGGTCCATTAAGATGATTGACAGGAAAGAGGTGTCTTGGTAACTTGAGATATTGACAAAATTAAGAACATATTTCTGAAGATAGGTAAAATTTTGTGTGCATGTTTTATCTTAAAGCTCAAAAAAAAGAAAATAGGCAGAAAAAAATTCAGGTACAAGAGTATGATTGGCAACTCTCAGGGAAGTGTAGAGATTGGTAACAAGAATCTAGCAAATGAGATCAAGATAGAGTAAGAATAGGAAAAGCTCCTGCCCTGGGACCAAAAAAAATAATAAAAAGTTATAGAAATATACATAAGTGTAGGATCAGCCTCTTATTCTTTATAATGATTTATCAGTAACAAAGAATATCTTCAATGTTACATTGATTTAACTCTTTCATTTGTTTATTAACTAATAAAACATTTTTATGTTTTATTTATTAACTAATAAAACATAGTATGTCTTAACTATTAAGACATACTATGTTTTATTTCATCTTAAACAATGAAAATATTAATAGATGTATGATTTTATAATGGTTGCCATAAGTTAATTTTCCAAAATAAAAGCCATCCTGGAACCTTTGAAGTTATTTAATCTCAATAGTTCAAGGCTTTTAGAAGAATTTACCAGCTATCACTTAAATATAGTTTTTTTTCTGTTAATGCAATAGAATTTTAAAATAAAAAGAAGAATAGTTTCACTTCCATAAAGATCGCAAAACCAATTTCCTCATTACTTATTGCCATTAAAAACTATCATTCTCCTCTTTCTTAAATTAACATTTTTTTTCAATAAAAATACAGATAATGAGCAAGACTTTACTACCCACGACAAATATCAGGAAAACAACCTAATGCTGAACTCTACTTATGCTGCATGAATTTATTCAGCCCTGGCTAATTAACAGATGGATTTTCTATATTCAGTGTTTGTTATGATATTCTCCTTGCTAAAATGCATAAGTATTTTACATGCCATTCAAAGTAGAAATATAACCAAAAAGTAAAAATTCATTTAATTTATAGTTAATTAAAATTCCACGCTAACACTTGATTTCTCATTTTTAAGAGTAAATGAACATTTTAAAGTCTATATGGTTTAAAATTAACATATTTCCCATACATATTTTACACATATGTTTGTTTCATAAGAAAGCTCTTAGATTAAATATTATATAATCAGATTCTAGAAAATATTTTTAAAGCTTCTATTTGCCAGGCACTTTACCTATTAGCTCATTTATTCTTTATAAAAAACCACCTGAGGGAGAGCCTATTACTATCTCCACTTCACAGATGAAAAAGTGAGAAAAGAAGTTAACTTCATCAAAGTTATACACAGCTACTGGATGACGGGGAAGATTTGAAGCCAGGCTCTCTGGCTCCCAAGTTTAGCATCAGACCCACTGTGCTATTCTGTCCTCACTAGTTTAGGCTAAGGGTGGAGGTTTCTGGCTTAAGTTATTCTCAGATGATATCAGAACAATGTATTAACAATGGAATATTTAAATAATTAAACAATCTTGTCTACATAATTTCAAACAATCTGTTTGAATTGAGTCAAATTACCATATACTTTGAAATTGTGTAGACAAGAATTTTTCTAGACCACAACCATTCAAGGAAAGCTTCCCATCTCAGTAATTTTGTGTACCTGTGAGAGTTGCATTCGCTCCTTCAAAACCTAAGGAATATCGTTTAATAGGTGAACCCACTAGATGAGTAAATTACCTTCCCTGTCCTCACGAGTATTTGAACAGAAAATCTAAAACTTTGTTCATTGTGTATCCACACCATAGTAACTCCTTTCTAGAGAGAAGCTTTTGAAACTCTCAAAGACTATCAACATTCAATGGCAGAATTTTTTTTATGTACTCAAAGAAAGATCCAAGCTCACTGTTGCCCTGGTAACCATGGACCCCAATGCAATGTATTCTTGAGGAGAAAGCCCAGTGCTCTGTGGCCTTTCCTTTAGCTGGGATAGCGTTGCACTCTCTGAGCAAGTTGACTCTCCTTTACATGTGGTCTTAAGAACATGAGCAACCAAGGTTTCTAACAATTCCCAACCCTATCTCAAGTCTTTATTAGTCCTGCACATGTGTTCTATTATTCAATTTTCTATGAGTCCCGAACAAGGTCATTGTTATTTAATCTTAACTCCAGCTGTTTAAGGAACATGAAAAGAGCTGCCATGTGACTCTAGCTCTGAACCATTTGATTTTATTTTCCATGATTTTTTCTCTTATCTTCACCATTTATGGTCTAACATTCACAGCACTACCATCACTTCAATCAGTACTATTTAATGCAAACAGAAATGTTATTAGGTTGGTGCAAAACAATTGCGGTTTTGCCATCAAAAGTAATGGCAAAAATCATAATTAATTTTGCACTAGCTTAATATTTAAATTTATGCACTTGCCTGTAGTAATTTTTTCTGTTGTGAGAGACAACATAACTCATATTAATGGCATAAAACCTCTATATGCTCCTTTCTACATAGAGACAAATTAAAAAAAAAAAAAGACGGGACTCAGGGCTAAAAAGCTGATGTTGAACAAAGCATTTCACCAAATCTGAATACAGAAAAAGAAGTCAAAACTGAGCTTGAAGACTTGGGGTTAAGAGCTCTGAGTTACTCTGATAAGAATAAGTAAGGCTAGATAATGAATTGGCAAAAAAAAAAAAAAATTGCTTTTTTAAAAAAATAGAAATGTCTGGTACTCAACTACAAGTTCCAAGTCCTGTGGTTTAAAACCCTTTCCACCTCTTCAAATGTCAGTGTTAACTCTCTGCAACTGAAAACCTCATCTAAAGAATATATTTGAATGTATGTGTGTAACATAAGGAAAGGGGTGAATATCTTTCTGGGCGTGTCATGGAGCGAAAAAAGGAAAGCATATGTGAGATTTCAAATAACCCAGAACAGAGTAATACAGTAAGAAAAAGATCTTGGAGCCAGAAATGTCTGAGAAAAAGATAAACAGTCCTTTTGAGATTCAGGCACATTAAATTTGAATTTTAAAGACCAGATCCTCTTGGAAGTTATCT